TGATCTTTAGGTTAATTCTTATGTCCTACCACCACTCGGGAATCTCCAAGCTGTCTGTGCAAGCTGTCTGTGCTGTGCAGTCAGGATTGCTCAGGATCGCTGCCAGCTCTAGCAGTGCTTAAACCAAATCTTTAGCCCTGTATTTCTCCATTACTCTCCCACCCCTCCAGCCCAAGCCAGTCTTCATTGGTCTCCCACACTCACACTTGCCTAGCTTCTACTCATCTACCAGGGCTCAGCTTAAATTTTATTTGTAGTTTGAGACCTTCTTTCACTGACCACTCTATTTTAGATCTCTTGTTTTAGCTCTTTTAGCATCCTGGATTTTTTTCTTCAAAGCATGTATTATAATTATATAACTTTCTAAGCAATTGTTTTTCAGTACGTTTACCCCTGACTAGACAACAGACTTCCTAATAACGGAAACTATTGTTGTTGTTGTTGTTATGTGCTGTCGAGTCGGACTCAACTCATAGCGACCCCTCCTTGGGTTTCTGAGGCGGTATCACTACGGAAGCAGATTGCCCAGTCTTCCTTCCGAGGAGTGGCTGGTGGGTTTGAACCACCAGCCTTCTGGTTAGCAGTCAAGTGCCTTAGGCACTATGCTACCAGAGCTCCTAATAACGGAGACTAGTATCTCTTATTCCTAACTCAGCATAGTTAGGAACCAGAAGGCTAGCGGTTCAAACTCACCAGCCACTCCTTGGAAGGAAGATGGGGCAATCTGCTTCTGTAGTGATACTGCCTCGGAAACCGAAGGAGGGGTCGCTATGAGTTGGGTCTGACTCAACAGCACATAACAACAACAACAATCGTATCTCTTATTCCTAACTCAGTTACCAGCACCCAGTAGAATAAATGAACAAATCAGTGAATGAATGAGAGTCAAGAGTCATGGATTGTGGGGCCGATTATATTTCTGTACCATCCAAAGAACCAGATTAAATTCATATACACAAGTTAATTTAATTTATTCACTAATTAAAATCATTTACATTTTTAACTTTTTAATTTTATTAATTTTTTGGTAAATGAAAGTCTTTATATCTGAAATAGAAGAAAAACTGCCATTGAGAGGATGCCAACTCCTAGTGACCCCCATTTGGTTTCAAAGCCTGTAAATCTTTAAGGAAGCAGATCACCCCATCTTTATTCTGTGGAGTGTGGCTGGTGGGTTCAAACCACCAACCTTTTGATTAGCAGCAAAATGCCTTAACCACTACACCACCAGAGCTCTATGAAATAGAGGAATATTTTATTTTAAATTATGGTGAACATCAGGTACTCATTTTGGACCTCATGCAATTGCTAAATTTTAACCTCAGAATGCATACATCACACATATAAACTTGCATAGATGTGTAATGAGTGGCAGTATTTTGTAACATCATCAAATATTTTCTTCACGTATGGTGCGCTTTTTAAGTACCTTTATTTTGTTTATTTCCCTTTTTGATCTGATAGGGTATTGTCTCCTGCATTGACTCCATGATTTATGACATGAACAAGAAGGACTCCAGAAGAATAATAGCAGCTATTAGAAACTATACAAACACCCTTGACAATACCAGGAGTTGAATTTGCCCAGGAAGGTGGTGGTTCAGGGAGAATGTATGGCAGCTGTGCTGGAGGCTTTGTTCATTCTAGCTCCAAGGGAGGGCGGGGTGCTGGTGGTGAAGCCTCTGACAGCCGAAGCAACACCCCAGGCCCTTATGAAAAAAGAAAAGCATGGAAGGGCTTGTACATTCATTCTTGTCTTAGCTCTCATTCCCCAGAAAAGATCCTGAGGCAAGCACTCATGTTCAGTTGATAATGGAAATTTGTCAAGGAGATAACCAGTAAGGAAACAGGAAAGCAAGATATTAAAGAAGTAAAAACCAAGCTAGGGTGCAATTTCAGCTGAAGTCCCAGGCTCCACCAGATTTCACAGGGGCTTTGGGACATAATAGAACTGCAGTTTGTCCCACCATGAGGCAAGACAGCCAGACTTACATCCCCTTACACCTGCCCACCATCAGCTGCAGGCCACAACAGGGCCATCAGCTCTCAGACACTCAGCTCTCTGAGAGTTGGGGTAAAGTGGCTCAAAGGCAGTTCTCTGAAGAGGGCTACAGGTGCAAGCTGTTAGGAGCAGGCTTGTGGTTGGGGGTGCCCAGAACCAGTAAGGGATCCAAAGGCACTAGCAGAGCACCTGCCGTAATTCCCCTGCCAATTAAGAAACAGCCAGTTGCCATCTTGTTGGCTCCACCCCATGGTGACCCCACCTCATGGTGATCCCACCTCATGGTGATCCCACCTCATGGTGACCCCATGTGTGTCACAGTAGAACTGTGCTCCAGGGGTTTTTGATGACTGATTTTTCAGAAGTAAATCACTAGGCCTTTCTTCCAGGGTGCTTCTGGGTAGACTCAAACCTTTAACCTTTTGGTTAGTA